CCAGTGATATATGCAAGACGAATATGAAGATCTATGAAAGCTCATGGAAATAAAATACTGAAATGATTCTAGGAGTTGCATCAGAACCTCTTAAAACATTCTCTGTAAATATGAAGGGATGAAAATACAGGAATGCAAGGCATGCACACTTTCCTTGCAATTATTTCAGATTTTGTTTTTGAGATTTTTGATTAAAAGCAGCAATAATAAATTGTCTAAAGAAGTAGAGTGACTCCTTGAACCATTATACAGCTCCAGTGTGTGCAAATACTAAAGTGTTCTCCTCTACTCTTCAATAAAATAAAAAAGTAATAGTGTTTTTCAAATGTACTTGAATAACTGGACAAAAATTGAATTCACGTACTCTCATCTTTTCTAAAAAAATCAAGAAAATAAACAAAATGGCTAAAGCAGCTGATACCTAAAATTATATGGGATCTGTCACATTCAGTTGTACTTGAGTCTCATTCTCCAAGTACTGTAGATTCAGTGGCCCCAAGATACTTAATACCTAATTCCTATTGACCTGCAAAAGCCTGCAGCCTCTGAATCTCACAACACTACAGAAGTAAATGTGGGCTTTGGAGCAGTCCAGGGATTGCAAGGGTGAATCTCAAGTGGCCCTGACACTTGCCTTGGCAGAACATGGTTTATCTGCCATATGGCTAGATAAGTATCCAGCTAGTCTGTCATTGCAATGATGATGGAAAAAAAACCCCAATAAACTATTCAGGTACTTCCACACAGGGCCCCAATGCCATTTCCTGTGCAAGAAATGAGAGCTGGTCACGGCTTCAGCTGCCTGAGAACAGACATCCAAGGGTAGGATGGATGTCACATACCCTTGAACAGCCCAGTATTTTGGGGATAGCACTGCCTAGGGCACAGCAGACAGAACAAAAAGCACTTAGACGCTTCTTTACATCATCTTAAAGATAGATTAACTTTAAATTAATGAAAACTGCGGCTTAATTCCTCCTGCCTTGCCCTCTACACACCAATATGCCTGTGGGCACAGGCCAAACCAACCACATGCCTACCTATTTACTACTCCCTCTCCTTCCTTGTAATTCACTCCAGCTAATTCCGGTGGGTTTTTGCTTAGCTGGTTTCTTAAATTAAGCACTGTGATGGAAACCTATGTTGCATTGCCCTGCATTTCCTCAACTTATCTAATCCTCAGTTAGGCTCTGACAGTTTTGAAAATAAGACATCGGTTCCCAGGTCCTGAGAGTATTTTATCACATGTTTCCACTGATGCTTGTGTTGGAAGACAGAGACGTGAAATACAAGGAAAAGAAGCTCTCAGTGTGTTCAAGGGAAAGATGAGACCAAGCAGTACATTCTGAAGGTTTTTTTTCAAGTTTAAATGTGTATTTGGGTTTGCTTTATCTGCAGCACTGTCCTTATAAATTGCCATTGTTTTCTTTCCTGAAAGATGTTGCATGGAACTGTCTTCCCGAACAAAGTGTGTTGAAATGCCTGTTTGTTTCTTTCACGTGAGGATTGGAAATTTTCAAAGGACACACCAGTCCTTCATGGAGCTACACATACCTGGGACCAAAGTGAAACTCTTGATCCCAAGTGATATAAATACATTATAAAAAAATAAGCAAATAATTTCACAAGGTTTTGTATTTCCTCTTTGGTACTTCCCGCTATGGTATCTCACAGTTAAACTAAGAGCTTTCCTTTTTAGTACCCATGCACACAGGCGAACCCTAAGGGCAGGATTCCCAGGCTGAGATCCACAGCCCAGCAGCACTCTGCAGCTTACTGAAAGTTATCCAGGGACAACTGCCATGCCATGAGTAAGTGGCATGATATGACCAGGGGTCATGTTTATCCCACTGAAAACAGTGAAGGCCCCATGACCACGGGTATGCCGAGGATTAAAAATATGAATGGGACCGCAGTAGATGAGAATATGGCCTAAGACAGCAGTTTGGTCCAGATGAGAAGAGAGACAAATGCAAAAGGATGCAAACCAGGATTGGAGAAATGCTATTTGTGAGAAGTTTTTTCTTGACAACAGAACTCCTAAAATCACCACAATGGATAAAACATGTGACTCCAGTGGGTTTGTTTCTCTGCTATGCATTGAGACCAAGACCTGTGGAGTCACTCAGACATTTTCCTGGCATTAAGATACATGGAAGTGGCAAACACAAAGAAGGCAAAGATTAAGTCAGAGATGGAGCAGAGGATTTGACTGAAGCAACACAAATGTTCATTAATGCTTCAGCTGGTTAAGAAAATGCACAGAGTGTCTTGGGAAAAAATTAATGGCAATTTATAATTACAACAGTACCAGGCACTGGAAAACATCAGGTTTCAATAGACGTTGAAACTTACCCTAGAACTGCCTTCAATGTCCCCTGATTTCCTGATCTGTGAAGGACATAGGTTATTTACTGCTAGTGTGACAGCTCCTGACAAGCTAGCAGACTTCATAGTCTAAAACCAGAGGTCTAGTGGCAGATATCCATTACAAATATTCACAGTTTTACAGCTTTAAAGAAATAATTCCTGTTTCAATGAAAAGGAATGTAACAGTGTCAGAAAATAATGAATCCCTTTTCACTTTCTAAAATTTGAGGTGATTTCTCAAGAAAAACTGATTCCTACAACTTAGTCCATCTATAAACTGAAAGCCCAGATAATTAGTTTTAGAGATGTGTGAGAACCAATGAACAGCATTAAGAAGTCATCTGTAAATATATATGTAAATATTACAGACTTGCCACCAGTTATATTACTCTGAAGTACCAGAAACATCCTGAGGTACAAAAATATTAAACTGTTACCTGAGACACCCTCTTTCCTTTACAATAATAGTCTAGGTGACAAGGTTACTGGCCCACCACTGCACATGCTACCTTCAAAGGATGAGATCAGATCAAGTACTGAAGATCTTAAAAAAGATCTGATAGGAACTTGATGTCCATGTTATTAAACCGTCTATCAAGGGGTGATTCACTTTAACTGTTCAGAACACCCACCCTTAATTTTTCTTCAGACATTGCTTGACTACACTTGTTTGCCTCACTCTCTATGCTCTGAGTTCAGTGTATTGCTTTATACTTTACCAGGCAACCTTTTTTTTTTAGCCTGAAGATAACAGAGATCTGATGACTGATGAGGTATCACTTCAGAAGGACACACTTTCCACAAATATTTATTGAAAATGTCTCCATTGTCCATTATTGGTACTCAGGAAGAACTAAAGCATCATAATGAATTCCTGTTTCATTCATGTACTCCAACTGTCACCCTAATTCCAAAAAAATTATACTGGAATGCATGATACTGTAAATACTGGTATCATACTGTCACTCCTTTCTTTAAAATCTTTTAAAATGTCAGACTACACAGAGTAATATATTCAAACAGGTTGTTATATCTGAGCTTTTGACAGAGAAATCTTAGACAGCCTGTACGAACACACTGCAGTAACTACATGTGAGCTAACTTTCATTATTAAAACAGCTCCAAAAGCTTTCCATGAACAAATTAACAGTTATCTTTAAAGCTGAATCTAATTATAACATGAGCAAGAAGAAAATATTAATTTAGGTCAGCTCCAATGACTGTTGCTATTTCTTGTCATATCAGAACAATGTCTCAACTATAGTGTTAAATTTAATTATTGAAGTTTGATGTTTAAATATGTTTTAATTAGCACTGCGACTGAATTCTGGTGTTAAATGATTTAATTTCCAGTACTAAACTGTTGCATACATCATGCATTCTCACATCTTGACACTGCCTCCACAATTCTGTGGTTGCATTTGTGTATTGCCATTATTAACTTTCTATTTGCCAATGGTTCGTACCATGCTGAGGTAAGGAGAGACCGTTCCTGGTGAGAATAGTAACAGATTTAAATAAGAAGCAAGGAAACACTCGAATTTTTAAATGAGCACATGAAAAGAAGGACAGCTCTCAGAACCTGAACTCTTGGGGTACAGTAGCCTTGTAGAGTTACCTACGAGGTCTGAGGGAATCTTTAAGCAAACAACATCAGAGGAGTTACTTCAAGTATCACTCTCCCAGCCCTCCCTCATTCTCCTGTCCCCCCAAAAACCGCAGCTCTCCGAGATTCTCTTCTTCCTTACACATCCTGAATCGAACGGGCAACTCCTCACTGGACTCTTAAAGTTGAGAAACGCGGGATTTGCCGTTCCTGAGCGCAGTAGCCCGTGCGAGAGCCGGCCTGCAGGGCAGCGCGGGGCCGGCGGTCACGAAGGAGCCCCCAGGGACTGCCATTCCCGGCGGGAGCGGCACCGGAGCGGCCGGACCGGCCATCGCTCCCCGCCGCCGGCTCCTTGGAGGGCGGGCCGCCCCTCTGCATCCACTCCTGGGAACGGGCAGCTGCTTAGATCGTCACACGCCTCCCGCCGCCGCTCCCGCCACCCGCACACATGTGGCAGCCGCGCCGCTGCCCGGGCGCGCCCGGAGCGCGGGGGATCCGGGATTTTAACGAGCGGACCAGGAATCCTGCCTGGCTGTCACCGCACCGCCCCGGGTTCTTGCGCGGCACGGCACAGCCCACCTCGGACAGCCTCCGCTCGCCCTTTCCCTGGCGTTGTACAAAGGGACCCGCCGTGACGCGGCACCGGCCGCCCGGGGGCTCCCTCCCTCGTCTCCGGCCCAGCGGCCCCGCAGCACCCGGGGCAGCTCGAGCGGGCGGGCCGCGGCCGGGCCCGACTCACCAGGCGCGGCTGTGGGCAGGTGTGTTCCAGCTCCTCCATGGCCTCGGAGGGGGATTTGGGGATGCCTCTTCCTGACTCAGCACCGGCCGCACGCACTGGCATGGCCGCCGCCCGGGCCCGCCCGGCGCGGGGGGTCTCCCCGGGAGCCGCCCGGGGGCTCGGCCGCTCGCGTCGCCACGGCAACCGGCGGGCCCCGCCCTGCTCTGCGCGCGCGGGGGCGGGGCCGGCTGATTTGCATGCGGGCTCCTGGTTGGCTGCTGCCCCGCCGCGCCACCGCGCGCTGCCCACGGCGGCTCGGCGGGCGGGCCCCGCCCCCGCGAGTCTCAGGGGCCGGAATGGGCCCGGCCGGGGGGAGCGGGGCGGCGGCACAGGCTGCGTCCAGGAGGGTCTGGAACATCTGCAGTGAGGGACTGCTCAACTTCTCTGGGCAATCTGTTCCGCTGACCGGTCACCTGCACAGTGAAGTTCTTCCTCATGTTCAGGTAGAACTTCCTGTGCATCACTTTCTGCCCGTTGCCTCTTGTCCTAAGCTTGGCAACCCCGAGAGGAGCCTCCTAAAGGCTCCGTCCTCTTGGCGCCCCGCCCTATAAATATCTATTTACATACATTAATGAGGTTCCCTCTCAGTCGACTCTTGTAGACACTGAACAGGCCCAACTTCCTCATCTGTTCTTTGCAAGAGAGGTGCTCCAATCCCTTAATCGTATTTGTTGCCTCCACTGGACCCACTCGAGGATCTCCATGTCTGTCCTGTCCTGAGGAGCCCGGAACTGGACACAGCACTCCAGATCCATCTCACTGGGGCTGGGTGGAGGGGCAGGATCCCCTCCCTGACCTGCTGGCAGGGCTCTCCCTGATGCACCGCAGGATCCCGTTGTCCCTGCTGGCCCCAGCCCCGAGCCGTGCTCCGGGCAGCAGGCGCGGTCCGTGCCGGAGCGGTGGGGCCTGCGGGAGGCAGCGCCGCGCCAGGAGCCGCATCGGCGCGTCCGCCCCGACCCCGGGCGCGGCTGCACAGCGGGGCCGGGCGGCCTCGGTACCCACTCACAGATACCGACTCCACTCCCAGAGAGCCGCGGTGAGCTTTGGCCGGCTCAGGAGCAGCCGAAGGCGGTGCGGTGCTGACCGGACAGCTCCCGCCTGCCCCGCCGGGCAGCCCGGGAGCGCCAGCCCGCTCTCCTCCCCGGGGAGCGGCCTGGGGCTGGGAGTACCGAATTCTTGGTGCTGAAAAAATAACAGTTTTGGCAAAAGCGTCGTTCTGTTCTGCTGAGAGATGGATAAAGAACGTGGCTGTAATGGTAGCAACTCTCTCTAATTTGCACCAAAATGCTTCTAATCATAGGCAAATTCAGGGTTCCCAGGCCCTTCAAGTGGAACCTGGCTGACACCTGCCCAGGAGCCACGACTACATCTTTGGCTGTGCTGTACAACTGCTTCAATACATACAACTGTAGCTTTTACACTGCTGAAGTGAAATTACCATCCTTCTTTCTCTTAAATAGCATGAGAATATAACCAGGATAGTATAAAGCCAAAAATTTTTAGAACAGAGAGGCTCCATTGGCTATTGTTAACCTTGATAGAATCAAAAAAGTGGATTTCGGTAATACTTAGCTTCAGTGGGCACTGTCAATATTGTTTTTAAAAATCAGACTTCATCAGAGGACACGAGCATCTAAAGCCATCCAGACTTAACTGTGAGGAGTTACAAGAGGATTGTGCCTCAGGGTCTTTCCCCTTGAGACCTGAGTTTCAAACTTATTTAGCTTCTGCACCTCTTCAAAGAAAACCAAGCATAATACAAAAGTGTATGAACTATGTGAAAGGGAAACGAGTAGATAAGTAAATAAGAGGAGACGAGAAAGAAAGCAGAAAGAGAATGTAAAAAGAAAGAATGAGACAGCTGTCAAGAAAAAAGGAAAATACATGTCAAAAGAGGTGGCTGAACAAGAAAAACAGGTAGCCAAACTAAGTGAATCTCACAGCTGAATCTTTTCCCTACTAACTGAGTTCCTTTATCAGTGATTCTGCAAGAACTACTCACACATTATGGAAAGCATACTCAAGGGAAATGATTAAACCATGATTAATGCAGCACTCGGCCTGAAATTTGTAGCTCATTTTCTTAGGAGAAATATTTGCAGGAGTGTTACGCTGTTAGAAGAATATTTGGACAGCACAGATGAGGAGTGCTAGGACTGGAGCAGCCAGAGGTAGCAGGCAGCCCTTTTATAAACCCACCCACACATGCCAGTTTTTCAGTGATTGGTGCTGGTGTCCTGAAGGTGTAGCACCAGGTATGGACATATCCAGGGTGAGTGTCCAGCCCTCCCTGATCAGGCAGGTGCAGGGGAATAGAGATGAAAGGAAAGCAGACTTTCTTAAAGCTGGATGATTGCCAATGTACTGGAAATGTAAATTCCCTTGCCTTCTATTTCTTTTAAGTATGAAATGCTAGATTTCATCTTTGCTTTCATGCTGAGAGTGTGCTATTGACTCCAGATGCATTTTGATTAATCTTCTCTACAGACAGGTTTTTCCATATACATGTAACATTACAGAATGTCACTCTTGTGGTATCATCTATCTAAGCTGGGCCAGAATTTCAAAGTGGAAGTGGAATACTTTTCATGCTGCTTATTTAATTTGTATCTCTGGTAAATAATTTATGTATTCCGTCCTTCTGTTTGAAGAGCATGAAAAAAAATATATTGTGTACCTCATTACAAGAGAGAAAGTTGAAATAATGAGAAGGATGAGAGAAGGATGTAGGGTCTGTCATGTCTGTCCAAATGGAATTTGTCTAAAAATCTTAGTCAACATATTGTATATCTTGAATAACATATCCTAAACTGCATCTTCTAGCTGTTTGGGGCTAAATGAGCTTTCAAAAGGCTGAAGTGTGTCTCCTTTACTCTCTAAAATAAATAAAAACAGATTAGGTTTGATTGGAAAAGCTCAACAGATGGTCTTCTGTGAATCCTTACAAGTCAGCCAGCTTTTAAAAGAACAGTGAACAAGAGGCATGGGTGGGGAGGTTCATGCATCTAATTTCTTTTCTGTAACCAATATCCTGTGCCAGGCTGCTCACGGTCTCCTGGGCAGCTCCTGCCACTTCTTCACAAGTTACAGGGAATTAGCACCATAGGCTTTAATGACTGAACCCTTTGCAACAGCTGCTTGGGTTGAATAGACATCTGATGCATAAAAATCTTGTCCCAGGAAACCATGATCCCAATCCTCCTAGCACTAATTTCAAGGTCTGATTTGAATAGGCACCAAACAGGGAAAAACTTCAGTTGTTAGGAGGGTTCCACCTGATACGTAGTGGTTTGGGGGTTTTTAATACAGAACTTCAGTTCTCAAACAGCAACCATTAATTATAAAAGATGAAAAAAATCTGTTTAGATATTACATTTGAATCCTCTCGTTTCTCAAACTGAAAGTATGATCCCTCTCAAACACCAGTTAGCCAAGCAGAAGTTGCATTTATAATGGTCTTTACCTGAGAGAGGCTGTAAAAGTCTTCTGACTTATAATTGAGTCAAAATGAAGACAAGCAGACCCTCACATAATTTCTGTTCAAAAGTCATCAGGAAACTGAAAAAAAATGTGTGGCTAAATAGTGTTTGACTTCAAAGACAAGCATCTACAAGAAAATAGGATAATTTACTGAATATTTAACTGATGAGATTTAATAAATTTTGCTTCAATGGATATATTTTAGATACTGAAGGTTTTAACTGAAAGACTTCATAAGGTCAACTGCAAGATTTTGTAAGATGAAGAAATGGTTTATGTCTGGAGCAGATTTTTTAAAATTCTGTGTTTCTATGTGTGTATATATGTATGCTTGAATCCCTGCATTTATGTATGTAGGTATCTGTCAATGTCATGCTAATGCTAGACATGCTAGAATTAATAGTCAAAAATAGCAGAAAAATATACCTTATTGCTGAGATGCTCATATATTTTTAGACTGAGATTAAAACCCACAATGGTTGATATTTTTTCCCCACCTATTGTGTAGGTGGGAAAAAAGGTAGAGAATGAAGGGTATGAATTAAACTACACCCTATAGGTTTTCATAATCTCCAACACAAATCACTTGGCTGCTTCCATATAATGTTGGCTGATACTGTAGCTTTAATTAATTTTTAAGAGCAGTTCATCATTCCAGTGGAATGCACAACACTTAAAACTATGTTCTTTTTGTCAGAATAAACAAAAATATTTACTATTTATGAAATAGTCTAATAAAATGTATGCAGATTAAATCCACACAATTTTTCTATATGCAATGACAGTCCATAAATTATGAAAAGTAAAAACATAGTATTTGGTACAGTGTGATTTTATAGCTGGTTCTTTCCTCAATTCTTTAGTGAAGATGCGGTGTTTAATAAAATCTTTGTTCTCGGGATAGTTGTATAGAATCAAATTAGTCAGTATTTGTATAAGAGTTTAACTAAAAACGTCATGTTAATCCTGAAATGTTTTACATGTAAATCATCTGAAATATATAAATTCTTGAAAATAGTGGCCTTTGGTGATGCCATTCATCTATGCTTTGTAGCACTGTTTCAAATAAGTGGCATTACCCACTTTGGGAGAGGTTCTTTGTGTTCTTGCTCTTTCATGAACTACTTTTATAAGCACTTCTGAAAAAAATGGTGAGAAATCATGGCTGGCTTTTGACCAAGAGGGTATCTGTCTTCATTTCACTCTTCCCAAGTCAGAGAGATGGTCACTTAGTGTAGGAAATGTTAAGTCAGTCTGTCCCATTATTAGATTGTCCTTGCTAATTTTAATAATCAAGCTTTTACTTATTGAGTAAATGTTGTTAGGGGAGGTTGAGGGATTCTCAACAGTGACACTTTACTGATGGATGGTCTGAGGTTAGAAAGCACTTAGATTAGGTAACCTCTGTTGGTCCTTCCCTTCCCAGAACCCAAATTATCTATTTAATCCACTCTTAACACGGTTCACTCTTACCAGAAAGTTTTTCTGAATGTCTAATCTGAACCTCCATTGCTGCAAGCTACTGCCAGTGCTTGCTTTTGCTACTGCACACAGAGAACAGATTTACTCTCCTTGGTTTTTGTATGACTACTGTGGTTAAGATTTTGAAACAATAGTCTGAGGATTTGGAATAGAAAACTGATATTCAGGAGCCAGGCTGGTACTTTTGTTACATGTCTCTTGACTTTTCTAGACTAAACTGTCCCAGCTGCAATAATTTCTCATAGGTCATATGTTATAATCTTTCCATTATTCTCCCTGCTCTATTTTGGGTTCTCTGCAGATTTCTTACAGAGTGGTGCAAGCACAGGACTATAGTTGCAACTTTACTGCTAGAAATACAAGAAATACAATGCTGAATGCTACAGATCTCTCTACTTTATACATCTCAGTATAAACTTTTTCTGAATTATTTATATTCTCTGCCCTCCTTCTCACTGTTACAGATAAAATATAATTTAAGAAAAATCTCTTTACTATTTACATTTAAACTGTGTTGTTATCCCTTCTATCCCTTTTTGTCTTCTTCTGGCTTTCCAGATAAGCACTCCAATCTCCTTAAATCTACACAAAGCTAGGACTACCTTTCTTGAACATATTTGTATTGCACTCACTTCTATCCATTTTCAATCTCTCTGGTGCCTTCCTTTACTGCCAGCTCAATTTCAAACTTCTTGGACTGATCATCAGTATTCTGTCACACTATCTTTTCCAGGATTACAAGTCTCCAATATTTTTTTTTCTCTCCACTGCTCCTGTCAACCTTTATCTTTCCATTTGTCAATGTTTCACGCAAGGGCCTTCACAGCTTTTTCCCCATACCATTCCAAATGCAAACCCGACAAGTGAAACATAACAAATCATACTGTAAATGGCATTTGAGTGATTGTCAGGAGTTCACATTAATATTTTGGGTACCAAAAACTTAATAACTGGAGAGTTTCGTAATCTGGGTAAAGACACACACTTTGTTTAAAGCAAAACACCTACTTTATGCACTGTAAAATGGCTATCTGGGACCTAGTATAGCTTTTACTAATTATTATCTGAATGCCTCTTCCTGTAACAACTTCTTCCATTTGGCCTGAACTAAGGTAGACTAAGTACCAAACCTAACTGGAAAGACCTTTTCTCTCAGGTTGACATTAACTTTCCTGCCAGTGTCCACAGGAAGAATCAAAAGCTGGACTTGAAAGGAATTAAAAATCTGTGACTTGCTAGTGTTGGAAAGCAAGATCAGATGTCACTGGAACAGCAATACACAAGGAGACACTGCCACTAGGACTGACCTAACTTGTGTTTCTACCTTGCCTGCGGTGATGAGGCAGGTCCAAAATCTTGTATGATGATCTTGGCTGGGCCTGACAGCTCACCCTGCCTGGGTCTGTAGGACATAGTCCTGGGTGTCAAGTCCCCAAACCCCCACCAGCCCTCTCAT